TGCAACAATGAGAAGTACAAGTTGTCATGTCCAAAACGAGCTTTACAACGTCGGTGGTGGGGGGGGGAGGAGAAGGATTGGGATTGGGGGGGGAGGGGGGAGGCTGGGAAGGGATGTGAAGAGTAAACAAAGGAGGAGGCTGCAATGCTTGGTAAGAAATGTACACATTATCCTGCCCATGCAATTGTAGCCCCTCTGTACAGTATGTTCACAAATAAAATTAAATTAAATTAAAAAAAATAAAAAAATAAAAAATAAAAAAGTACCAGCCATTGATAGTTCATTTCATTCCTTCATCCTTAGCTACAATCTTAGTTAAGGAGTCTGAGATCTGGTCATAGGTCCAGGTCACCCCAGGCAGAAAATTCCACACGATTCCATCTCCAAAAAAGCAGAAGGGGGCTGGGAAGGTGGCTTGCCTTGCATGCATGAGGCCCTGGGTTCGATTCCTCAGCACCACATAAGCAAAAAGAAAAAAAAGCCGGAAGTTGCGCTGTGGCTCAAATGGTAGAGTGCTAGCCTTGAGCGAAGAGCTGAGGGACAGTGCCCAGACCCAGAGTTCAGGCCACACGACCGGACCCAAAAAAAAAAAAATAGAAGAAAGAAAGAAAGAAAAAAAAAAGAACAGCAAAATAGCAGAAGGCAAGGCTGGGGGCATGGCTCAAGTTGTATAGCACCTGCCTAGCAAGCATGAGGCTTTGAGTTTTAACCCCAGTACCACCAAGAAAACCAAATACTTGAATTCAGTGTGACAAATCCCACATATTTTAGTTATTTTTCCTAGTCTAGCTCATTTTCCTAACTGGAAAGAATTACAACAGTGTAATGTTTTCCTATTTTGGGCCTTCTTACTGTACCTGGCAAGATGGTTCTATACATAAAGGCAAAGTGTTGTTTAAGCCATGGATGGCCGAAGTGGTTGATGTCAAAGTGTCTCTGAACAAGAAACATGTACTGGAAGAGTGATCTGGTGGTATAGCTGCCATAGGCAACTCCTTCGTAGAGGGACCCATCTGTCACCTCTCTGAGCAGGACCAGAGATTTCTCCATGATGGTCAGAACTTGTTTGGTCCACAAGTAGGCCTCTTGTAAGTACCCTAAAGGGTGAGAAATACATGACAAAATATAAACAAATAAAACCCTATGAGTATAGTGCCCAGGCCCTAAGTTCAAGCCCCATGACTGACCAAAAAAAATCCCTAAGAGTTAACAGACCAGTTTATATTATTACAAATTGCACTTAGTAAAATTGTCAGCTTTACAAATAACATCCTTTTAATCAAGGTATGCCGTAAGCACATGACATAGATTACAAAGTTTATTAAATAAATGGAGTTAAACACTTCAGAGAGCATCAAGAAAATTTCACAAGTAAGATCATAAGTTGCATGTAACTTTGTGCATAAGACTAGCTTTGTATCTTGGAACTCCTATTCAATTTCCCTAAAAACTACTTGAAGATACTTCTTGAGTTTGTCACTTTGTACCATTATTTAACAGAATTTATAATACTCAGCAAAACATAATAAATGTGAAACAGCCTTTAGTTTCTAGAAGCACAGGACTTAAAATACAACACAACAGGGCTGGAATAGAAATTTAATGGTAAAAAAAAAAAAAACATCTGGGAGTCACAAGTCTGCCAAAGTCTGAACTACATGATTTCGTTCAAGTAGTTCTTCTACCTATCACGTTTTTTTTCTAGTCTCCCAACTGAAGATCCACAGTCTAAAATTTTACACCATCTTCTGGACTGAGATTGAGAAATTCTTGCTTTTAAAAGCAATGGTAACAACTCACGTGTCTATAACATGTCTACTTTACACAGCACTGAACAAAGTCTCACATAATCCTTTTAACAATCACAATTATGCCTTGCTAATCTGAAACTATGGAAAGGCTGACTTGTTCTAGACCTTAGGCATGTGACTCAAAATAAACAAACTATAATCTGCACCTAGGACTTAAAGGTTTGATCTGTTTTGTTCATTTCTTTGTAAAGCACACAAAGCTTTACCTACTGGGTGGAGGCTTTAGTGCTTTAGTGAAACAAATGTGTCATCTGAGTGCTAACTGCTCTACTGTGGCCAGCAAGAAGGGTTCAGCTACGTTGGGGTTTCCAGAGGCCCACGTACCAGCAGCTCTGAGCCCAAGGCCAGGTCCCAAGTGAAGCACTGTGGACATACTGCTCTCAGGCTTAGTAGCATCGAGGTGACCACTAACTGCAGCCTGGCCCCTTACTGCTCCACAATGAACTTGCCAACCCCACAGTTTCCCATCTCCACCCTCTAGCCTGTGGCTTTAAAATTCCAGTTATGGTCTTTTTCCTCTCTATGTCCTCCTTCTCCACAGACAACAATGTGACTGGTATCTCAAGACCCTGGATACCACAGTACCTGATTTCCTTTGAACTCTTCACCAGCCCTCTTCAGGCAATGTCTAACAAAATATTCCGTAGACTACTATTGTAGACGACTACAAGGGACTACAAAATATTCTGTCCCTTCAAGTCATTGATACTATTGTTAAGTTTTTCCTACAAGTCTTAATTATAAGTAATTATATTAAGTTGATGTTGTGATGTGACAAGTGAGAAAACTAGATTTGGGTAAAATCTGTTGATGAATAATCTACAAAATGCTCATCCATTCATTCTTAATGGGGGAATATAAGCAAGCATTAAATTCTTTTTGATTTCAAAGTTCTGATATATAATATTCTAATACTTCACTATGATCTTCTTTTCTTTTTCAACTATAACTTTATTATTATGGTGTTGTTCAGAGGAGTTACTGCTTCATAAGGTAATGAGCACATTACTTTTTTTGAACAATGTCAGCCCCCCCTTCCTGTGCTTTCTCCCAGTTTCCCCCATCTGCTTTTCTGAAATACAATACTAGGCATTGATAGGTTTCCACAGGAGTTATAATTAAGTTAGATTACAAGAATAAAGAAAATATAACATGGACAACTATGTAGTGTGCTAAAAAAAAGTAGCTGAATAACCCATAAAAGTTACTTCTAATTTTTTCACATTATGATCTAATCTGGTTGTTTTGTTTCAAGGAAAAAGAAAAAAGGGGTACTGCGATTCACATCTGTGTGAGAGGAATATTCTTTTCAAATAATAGAACACCTATTTCATTTCAATAACATCATTTCTTCTAGGTTGGCCGTCTTCACTATAATAATTCTCTGGAAAAATAAATATGGGACAATCATAAGCCATAATTAAATAACCCACAAGCTAATACAGCTAGAAGAAATTAAGAAAAAAGATATCCCTTAATTAACTGAGAGATGTCCTGGGTATTACTTCATCTGCTGGGATTATTTAGGATCCAAGTAGAAACATGTACCCAAGAACACTCATTCAAAATGCTACATGGTAATAATGACTGATGCCAGCTCAGGTATCACCCTGGCCTTGATGAGATCACACCCACCTTGATTCATCAGAATTAGGCTTCCTGTGAGTAAAGCCATGCAGTTGGTGGGCTGATGATTGTGCAGGTATTGAAAGCCCCATCCTCTCCGGTATGAAGTTTCATACATGTAGCCCGAGGCATTGGCAATCACTTCAAGAAACTTCTCCTGTTGTGTCTTGCTCAGGTAGTTGTACAAGAAGTCATAAGCAGTGGCAAAACCCACCAGGGAATGAGCCAGTGGGACTTCATCCCAAGGAGCATCTTTCACCAACCTGTAAAGAAAAATAAACCATGGAAAGGAGGGCCTAAGAAGGGCTCACAGTTTTCATCGCTCTTCTGAAGAGTCTATTTCTCAAAACTAAAGAGCACAAATTACAACATAAACCAAGGGGTTTAATGACATACCACTCACTTCCCTCCATGGCAGACACAAGCATAAAGCATAAAAATCTGTCTCATATGAAAATTATAGCCCTAACACTTTCCTCTTCCAGCCTCTGGCAACTTCAAGAGTTTACAAAATAGTTACTTCAGATTTTTTTTCAATTATCGATAAAGGTAGCAGAAAATATCCAAAGACATGAAGCAACATGTAATGGCAGTACCCACTTAGTACAGCTCTCACCTATGTCCATGTGCATAAAAAGCTCTTATTTCTATTCTCATGACTGGCTTGCTGTAAGAGGGGAACAGAGCTAGCAGTCTTATTTCCTGCAGCTGGTCAGCGCGAAGGTGTGAAGGTCAACATCCTTGACCTCTCAATCAGGACAGACCTATCTGGTCAGCACCACAGACAGGACAGCTGTTAAGGTGAGATGCCTTGTGCGAGCTGATTCCACCATGAATTTCCTGCATTGCATTCTTTCCCTAAAATGAACTGCATTTCTGCTAAAAGGTTTTCTGACACTTCCATAGATGTCTAAAAGCTGACTTCTGTGAAGTCTCTCATCATCATTTCCTAGAGAGCCAAATTTCTGTTTTCCTCTCTATATTATCCTACAAATAGCTCAACAGTGTGTGGGCTACACTAAACAGGAAGCAAAAATGGAACTTGCACAGTTAGAACTGTAAGGAATTATCCTGAAAATCCTCATCAACTGTGCGGGATGTAAGTGAGTAATCTCCAAGAGAGGGAAACAAATGGAGAGTGTACTGTATGCGGGGAGGTGGAAGAGATCCCAGTCAGTAATTAAGCGAAAGCTCAACATTCTATGCCATGAAGTCCCCTTGCAATTGAGTGATTTTAAAATTTCTAAAAAATTAATACATTAGAATACATTAGAAATCTTTTATTTTAAAGGACAATCATCAGCTGGACGCAGGTGGCTCACGCCTGTAATCCTAGCTACTCAGGAAGCTGAGATCTGAGGATTGTGGTTCAAAGCCAGCCCAGGCAGGAAAGTCCATGAGATGCTTTTCTCCAATAAACCACTCAGAAAACTGGAAGTGGCGCTGTGGCTCAAGTGGTAGAGCGCTAGCCTTGAGCTGAAGAGCTGAGGGACAGAGCCCAGGCCCAGAGTTCAAGCCCCACCACAAAAAAAAAATCATCAATACATAGATTTATAAGGGGTGATGAAAATCAACTTGGATATTCACACATTCATTCATCCATTCATTTTTGTGTAAGTACCAGGGTTTGAACTTCAGGGCCACTGCCTTCTGGGCTTTTTGACTGATGGCTGGTGCTCTGCCACTTGAATTATGCCTCCAGCCTGGCATTTTTGCTGGTGAATTGGAGATAAGAGTCTCACAGATGTTCCTGCCCAAATTGGCTGGAGCTACAGTCTTTTAGGTCTCAGCTTCCTGAGTAGCGAGGATTATGAGTGTGGCCTACTAGTGCCCAGCTATTTTGAGATATTAATAACAAATGCAATGCAATATGAAAAGCTCTGTGACAGTTGTCTCTAACAAAGTAATAGGTTTTCCCAATATTATTGCAGTTGATTAATCTTATTCATCCTGAGGGAAAAAATGCAAACTTTTTGCAGGAGTTAATGAAAACTAAGATGCAGTGTTCCTCTCAAATAAAACTCAAGATGAGAATGTTTTAAAATATTCTGAGAGACTACAGTTTCTAGACTATGTTTTGCACTAGCAGTGATACTGGTTTGACTTTCTCCAGTCACCTATCAGAACTTCTGTGTTTCACCTCTTTCCGTCCATTTCCCTCTTCTTAGGAAATACATTTGCAACTAGATGTATGTAGAGTTTAAGTCCTACAAGAGCAGGTTTCTCTCTTCACCTTCCCCGCCCCCCCCATGGCATTCACAATTGGATCCCCAATCATATATTAGTATGTGGCCGATAATAGACTAGGAAGAAAACAATGAAAGAACAAATCTATAAAACTAGGCTACCCTGTTTATAAGGAGTATATGATCATTATGACAGTAGGAATTTGGAGGATCCTTTTGCATTTAGTTGTAATTTCAACATTCAGTTCTCTCTCCTAGTGCTAACAGCCTGGTGCTTAAAAAAAAAAAGACTGATGAGTTTTTAAATTATTTGGTCACAGAAAAAGCTGCCTAGCTTTAGCAAGTCAGTTTGCCAGCATGTGTACTGTTTATAAACAGACACTGAGAATGTGACTTAATTCCCTACTTCTAGGAAAAGAACAACTCAGACTTCACGCTTGTTGCCAGAGTGCTGGGAACATGTTCTTCACTGACTCATGGGGATTGGTGCACTAGACAGAGGCCAAATTACTGTTGTCCAGTCCAATACTACTCTACCATGTAATGGTGCACCTACAATGACAATATATACACCTGGCTGTAACATGGGTGTCAGTAACTCACTACTGCCCATCAAATCCTCACACACCTGTATAACCCAAGAGTTTATTTGTATGGATAATAGAACAGTTGATCTAGGGGCTGGGAAGGTGGCTCAGTGGTAGAGCGCTTGCCTTGCATGCATGAGGCACTGGGTTCGATTCCTCAGCACCACATAAGCAAAAAGAAAAAAGCCAGAAGTGGCGCTGTGGCTCAAGTGGTAGAGCGCTAGCCTTGAGCTGAAGAGCTGAGGGACAGTGCCCAGGCCCAGAGTTCAGGCCCCATGACCAGACCTCCCCCCCCAAAAAAAAAAGAACAGTTGATCTAATTCCCAACATTCATACAATATTGCAATGCAAATGATTTTGAAAATCTGTAGGCCTCCACAGAGTTTGCTTATTTCTCTTTTTTTGTGGGGGGTAGGGGGGTCCGGTCGTGGGGTCTGAACTCTGGGCCCGGGTGCTGTCCCTCAGCTCTTCAGCTCAAGGCTAGCGCGCTACCACGTGAGCCACAGCACCACTTTCGGCTTTTTTTTTTCTGCTTATGTGGTACTGAGGAATCGAACCCAGGGCCTCATGCATGCAAGGCAAGCGCTATACCACTGAGCCACCTTCTCAGCCCCAGAGTTTGCTTATTTCAAGCGGTTTCCAATTTCACAAAATACTAACACAAATTGCATTAGTGGAAGAGACTGTATTTTACAGTCATGATAACCAATAGAAATTTGCTCCTAGCCTACAGGAAGCGACAGAAAAAATAAACCCTATCCATTTACATGAAGGTTAAAAATATAAGCACAGAGATAAAGGTAATGGTAACACCAGCTTTGTATTATAACGATAACAGAAGCACTTAAAAATAACATCTGACACTTTATGCCACATCGTGTTTGACGGAGGCAAGGATATTTAGCTCCCATCTAGACAAGACAAGGAACATGCTCCAGATCACAGAGTTTATAAACAGGACTGAAGCACAAGAATTCTGGCCCCACAGATTTCTCCCTTAATCTCCATAGCCTCTTCTTTAACTTATTTAACACATCTCCCACTGGCTTCAAAGAACTGAAACTTTTCATTGACAAACTGACATTTAGTCAATGGGGGTCCACTAGGCCTTCTGAAAGGCAGTTTTAAAGTGAACAAAACCAAAGGTCCTTTGTGGCCTGATAACCATCAGACCAGGAACATCCATGAATAGTGTATACACATAAGATAATGGACATCCGATATGAAGGATAAACAACCCAGATGCTACTACAAACCAATGTGCTGAATAAAAACCAGTAACTATAAGGACTGTGAATAATGAGAGGTTCAAGAATGCAATGGACAAAGGAAAAGCTAACATCAATCATCAAGTCGAGGCAGGCTTGGTAAGACTAGGCTGGGTACCGGCAGGCAGAAGGCGCAGCTCAGGGCTGGCTGGTAAAGGTATTTCTGCCTAGACTCAGGAGAAGTGTTGACAGTGTCAGTGTGTGAAGGTCAGGGGAACTCCCACTGACTGCATGTCAAGTCAACCTGTGAGTGAGAAGTTTGAAAACCATAAAATCACAAAATGTACATCCTGGATGGGGACATGTTTCATGGTAAAGGTGACAATAGAATCCACTTTCTTTCAACTCTCAAAGTTATTTTCTTTCCCTCAAGGGCTCACACATTCAACATGGACAGAATCAGTGAGACCAAAATGAATTCAGAATAACAACGGTCAAGAATGGACTGGGTGTGGGGAGAGGTCCTAGGTACGATAAATACCAAGAGAGCCACCAAGAAACACTGTATCGGTCAGCATTTTGTTTCTGTGCCCAGACACCTGGGATAACTTGTAAGGGGGAAACAATCGAGCTCATGGTTTCAGTCCACTGCTGTTTGATCCAGCTGTTTGGGACTGGGGTGTGGCATGGGGAGAAACATGGCAGACAAAAACTTCTCAGCTCCTGGGGGCCAAGAAGCAGAGTGAATTCTGTATACCCTTCCAGGTGTCCATCCCCCAGAGAATCCACTTCCTCTAAGCAAGAATTGCCCACTCAAGTTTCTACCACTTCCTAGTAGAACCACCAGCTGGGGAATCAAGTCTTCAACATCTGACCCTTTACTGAACATTCCAGAACCAAACTATAACAATATCCATGAGCCACTGTAACAGTTACTCTCTCTCTTATTGTACTCCCCTTCTGACTGAATCTCCATTTGATCTGGCTGTGAATATGCAACTTGCAACCCAGGACCAGCTTTCAAATAACTCACACTCTCCTCTCTCTCTCTCTCTCTCTCCCTTCTTAAATGTATGGACAATGTACTTCCGACCTCCAAGAGGTCACGATTCAATGACTGGGGGAGATGGGGTGACTGGGGTCCCTGGAATCTGTCTTTTAAAGAATACCCTACATACTGAAAGATCTGTCCAATTAAGCCTTGTGTAGATTTTCTTTTGTCCTAAATGTCTGTATAATGTATTCCTCTTCCTCACTCTCACTGTGGTTTCATTTCTTCCTAGATTAATATTAGAAGCTTCAAACCAGTTTCTCTTCCCCTGAGCTATCTCTGGCAGGCCATCTTACACACAAAGCTTTTGAACACAGGCTAGGATGGAGCAAGCAATGACCTGGCCCCTGCTGACTGCCTCCTCCTGCTGTCCAAAGCTGTTACGGGAACACAGACAGAAAGTGAAGATGGACGGAAGCTTGGGTTAGGCAGGGCTAAATGTATTGCTTTAATCTGTAGGGCAGAAGGAGATGAAAAAGTAGTAGCCACTTGCAGATACCTAAGGTCAAAACTGTCTACCTGGCTTCCTAAGACTCTAAGCACTCACTCATGCTATATTACTCTGTTTTCATAAACATCTATCTAGCACTAGCAAGAATGAAATGTTACCAAGACTCTCCATCCTAATAAGACTATTTAGTTAAGTATTCTTTAAAAAAAATAGATAAGCTGGCCACCAGTGGCTCACACCTATAACTCTAGCTGCTCAAGAGGCTGAAATCTAAGGCTCAGGTTTTGAAGCCAGCCCAGGCAGAAAAGTGTGTGAGATTCTTATCTTCAACTAACCACCAGAAAACCAGAAGAGGCTAGCTCAAGTGGCAGAGGGCTAGCCTACAGCTAAAGGAGCTCAGAGACAGTACCCAGGGCCCAAGGAGTTCAAGCCCCATGACTGACTAAATAAATAAACTTAAAAAAAATTATATCACTAAAACAGATTTCAGATTTATATGCAGCTCTGGCCAACTAATGTTTTCCCTCAAGATATGGAACAAGGAATGCACATCATGCTTGCTAAATTCATATAATAGAAAATTGAAGAGCCAGATTTTAAAGACTTGTGGAAAGACTGTGTAACCCTATTTATTCATATTACCTGTGCTTGTATGAAGCCCAGGTAATTCCACTAAAAGAGAGAGGATTTTTGCTGTCTTCAGTACAAGTTACAGCAACTGTGAAAGACCATACTGATCCCCCACAGTATAACCCCTGCTTTCACTGTATTTGATGTTGATATAATTTATGGAGGGGAAAGGAAAAAACAAATCATTTAAATAGGGATACAGGTGGACCCATTGCAACAATGAGATGTACAAGTTGTTATGTCGAAAACGAACTTTACAACTTTGGAGGGGAGAGGAGAATTAGGTAGGGGAGAAGGATGGGAAGGGATGGGAAGGGGAAACAAAGGAGGAGGCTACAATGCTTGATAAGAAATGTACTCATTATCTTGCCCATGTAATTGTAACCCCTCTGTACAGTATTTTCACAATAATAATTTTTTTAAAAAGACCATACTGAAGGACTGACTCCTGCCTTACTCCCCCAGGCCAAGCAAGACTCCAGGTGTGCGCAAACAGGCTTGGCCACATGTCAGTCTGCAGGTAGACTATTCCAACCTAAGCCTGGCTGAAAGTCCTGTCGTCCCAGGTGTGACATTCCATTCTGGACCTAACCGAAAGTACCTAGTGCTCTCCCCCCCCCAGTAATTACAGCCTGATTTTTTACCCCCTTGTTTCCTTGTTAAGGCCCACATAAACCCAGCCCCAAAATCCAGTCCCTTGCATAACCGCCAAACCCATGGGAAAGTCTGTGCCCCTCGAGGGCAATAAACAGTCCTTCCTTGCCTGTTGCCGATTGAGTCTGGCCTATTCCTTTTCCATACTCCTCCATTTTCCTAACACATACTATATTTTAAAAGGCAATGGGTGGCACTAAAAGGCTAAGAAGTAGGACAGAGCCAGCCAATCATCTCAGAGGCAAGCAGACCCTGAATCTTCTACAGAACACAACAGATCTAAAAAAGAATTTCTTGAGATTTCTTCTTGATGATGTATGATTATAGTTGCCATAAGTTAACTTCAAGCTATTGTTAGAAAGAGGCATTATCGTAACTATTTTATCCCAACCTGCATTTGAACTAGGTGGAGAACAGGACAGAGTACAAGTTAGCTGAGCAGCAAGAACTTAGTTTACTACTTAGCCCGTAGTCTTTTTTTTTTTTTGGTGGGTCGTAGGGCCTGAACTCTGGGCCTGGGCTCTGTCTCTCAGCTCTTCAGCTCAAGGCTAGTACTCTACCACTTGAGCCACAGCGCTACTTCCAGCATTTTCTGCTTATGTGGTGCTGTGGAATCAAACCCAGGGCCTCATGCATGCAAGGCAAGCGCTCTACCACTGAGCCACCCTCCCAGCCCAGCCCATAGTCATTTAAACACATTCTTTAGACAGAACTCAGCTCTTTTGCACACCTTACTTTGCTTCTCTTTCAACCGTCCCCCTCCACATAACTCTTCCTGCCACTAGGCTGCCCATTTCCACTTTTGTCCAAGAATGCATTTAAAACAACATTTAAAGCAACCATCTGCTTTTTTTGTTAATGGCATTCAAAAAGGAGTTCCCAGTGCTCCGGTTCCTAACACATTTATGTACATTTTAAAGAAGCTAACTGATATAAAAAGGCTTGTTAGCCAACAGTTACCTTACCCTTCTTCTATTGCCAAGATCTGAAGCTGGGTAAAAGTGGAGAGCTTTCTTAATGAAAGAAATAAGAAAGAGTGGGGCCGAAAGGGCGAGGGAAAAGGGAAAGAGAAAGAAAAATCATGAATGAGAGGAAAGTTGGGGGTTTGGGGGCTGGGTTTCTGACAGCCCAGCATTTGTTTCCACCAGTCCACTTTAATGGATTCCAGGTGCATGCTGGGCCAAGTCTCACAGCCTTCATCACTGGAAGGTCATGAGAGGAAAACCTGATCTTTTCACTCTTGGCACTGTGGCTTCATGTGCTGGGGCCCAGTTACTTCCTCCCTGTTTTAAGTCTCAGCCTGAACTTGCAATTTAGAGAAGTAAAAAGCTGGAGAAACAGCTGTACAGAATTGCATTTGGAGCCCAGCAGGAATGCTGACAAGGGCACACCCACTCTTCATGTTATACTAAGCAATGTGAAACAAGTAAACTGACTGGTTCCTTTCAATATGACACTTGGCCTTTCCCTTTTTACGTTGTTATTTTGTTTTATTTTGTAAAAATGCCCTCAGACGGCACCATCCAGAAGTTTGCAATCTGTAGGCAAGGGTTTAATATTCAGTCTGTTGCAGAAAGGGGAGAAAAAAAAAGAATACAATTACTTCTCTGTCCAAAAGTTCAACTTTGTTTCCCTCACAGGGTCTTCTGATTTCCTGTAGCCAACTGGCTCCAGCACAAAAGTGAAGTAATTCCTTTCCTCCATGATTTATGTTCTGCTTGATGATAAGTAAGCAAAAACATTGTAATGGGAGGAAAAAAATGATTCATAACAAATAAGTCCCCAAAACACAGCACCAGTTACAGAGTAGGTTAAATGGAAAATACTTTGTATCTAAAAGCTTAACAGAATGAAGTTGCCGCTTCACACATCCGTTTCTGTGTAATCAGAATACTCATTTTAGTACAACTGCTTGCCAAGCACATAAAGCTAAGAGATTTACGTGAATTATCTTGTTCACTCCTTGGAACAATCATCCACACTTACAAAGGAAGAAGTTTATAGAAGTTACAGAATTTGCCAAAGGAGACTTGACTAATTAAAACGGCAGAGCCATGATGCAAACACTGGAGATCTGCCTGCACCTTCAAAGACCATTCTGCCAGTCCTTTTCTCCAGAGTTGACAATTCACAGCACAGCACTGAAGCCTGCTGTTCAGAAGCGCACACGGTATAACTAAATCTGTGCCAGCAGCTAGGTTTTTTTTTTTTTAACAATTGTATTGCTGCAACAATCATATCTTAGATCTGTTTTGAATGCATTCCTCTACCCACTGATTCAGGTAAGACACGGTAAATTTAACATCCCTTTCCTTGATGACTTAGCATCTGTAAGTCTTTTCCAATAACTGAACCTTTTGCTTTGTGTTCACTTCTGCAAGACCACTCTGCTAAGGAATATAAAGTCACATTCACAGCATCTCACATGCCAAGAGTTTAGCTGAGATACTCAATGGGGATGAGATATGTAATGTAAGGGCACTGCCTGATAAATTCCTTTTTTAAAATATGTCAAATTCTATAGAAGGATTAAGCTACACTGGAAAAAAAAAGTGGCCTGGGTTAAACTCATCTCCTAGACTGTAACCCCTCTTCCCAGGATGGTTTAGTGACATTTGCTTGGGAGATCTTCCATGGAGGGATATATATTCCTGCACAAAACAGGCACAGGCTCTCGTCTCAGTCTACTGAAGTGGCAAAGGCAGCACTATGCAATTCAGCAAACATGCACTGCAACGATGCTTAGAGAGGAGGGAATCTTTCATGAAACCCCCTGGAGAAGGTTCTCTGTGATACTGCCAAGAACAGTTCTTTTGCAGCGTAAGTGACTTTACATATTGAGTATACTGTGCTGTATGCTACAGTATTCCTGTTTATATTTCTTCATAGCATTATTTTCTCCTGAGATTGACTTATTCTTGTGCTGTTTATCATGTCCCTAGGAGCAACAAGCTACCCTATTGTAAGGAACAACATAGATAGACATACATCTAGATTGTATAACTACTCTCTACAATGTTTGCAAGCTGACAAAGTCACCTCATGATGCATTTCCCAGCACATCCCTGTCATTCGGTGATGCATGATGGTAGGCACATGTTTACCCAGGGGAAAGACATCGCAGCAGTCAACATGCTGCTGTTTACTCGGTCCAGCTAATCATCCTTTTCTTTGCTTAGGTCTAGGTGTTTTTGTTCTAATTTAAAACATGAAATATACTAGGCCTTTACAAACAGTGGGTCATTCAGAAACCAGAAGCAACACAAGCAATAAGTAATCCTCTTCCCCAATACACATGCACATGAAGAAGTATGTAGAAATGTAGCCTGTGTAGCTGCACTTGAATGTGGATCACAACATTATACACTTAAAAAGAACAAGACAAAAATCTACCAACTAGGCTGCGCTGCCATCCTCTCCATGTAGTCTTTGGCCATGTCTCGGGCTTCAATGCTGTCAGGATACAGCACACAGAACATTGCCAGGGCCCCCAGGTTGTTCCCATAGATTTCATTCCAGCGCGCACTGTAGTCCTTGGGATCCCAGGGAGGGAGGTACTCCAAGGGGCTGGACAGCATGGTGTGCACAGCCTCAGTGAGCTGGGCGGCGATGTGCTTGTGTGAGCTCGAGGCCCTGAGCTGGAGCTCCTCAACCTCGGCCCTGGAGAAGTACAGCATAGGGTGGCTGTCGTAGTTGGCATTCGTGAAAGGAATCATGACTTCTGGGTTCTCGTCGGTGATGTAGGCTGACACGAAGCAGAGCAAATGTATGAAAAACACACTGGGGGCTCCCCGTGTGTGAGTCCTCATCGTGGCATCAGATCTCCAAATCTCCAAGGCAGCCAAATCATCTTCAAAAGATCCTAGATGAGACACAAAGAAGAGCATGTGTCAGCCACCACGGGGAGCAAGGTGGACATAAAGAACGTTGTAGCCAGGAAGAAGGGTTAAGTGTTGAAAAACAAAGATTAGCAATTTTAGTTTCTTCAATACAAAACTGTGGATGAGTAAGCTGGTTAAAGCCTGCAATCTTGAGGTGGAGATGAGGAAGATTAAGTTCAAGGCCAGTCTGGACAAAGAAAGTGCACAAAACTCCATCACAAACAATGGCTGAAAAGTTGGTAAATTCCTGTCATCACAGAGATAAGGATAGCACCAACAGGAGGATCGAAGTCCAAGGCCTGCTTGGACCTTATAATGTGATACTGACCTCAACAGTAACTACCACAGCTGGCCAAAGGGTTTATGTGGTAGAGTACCTGCCTAGCAAGCCCAAAGCCTGGATTTCAATCCCTAATTCCACCAAAATCAAACAAAAAAAGGACAACAAAAATCTGAGTTAGAATAAACTTACTAGTACCTAGTAAGTTTTTCTTCACATATTATCATGCACAAAATTTAGGTTTTATGGTATATTTTAACATGTATACAAAGCCACAACAACCCAAAGCTAGTGGTGAACAGAATCATCTGAAAAATCTGAGTAAACCTTAACAAAATGGAAAATGCTGTAGTTATGACTCCAGTCCCCTCCCTCCCCCTTCTCTCTTCTTCTTTATGCTGTGCATTCTAAAACAAGGATAAAGATTGGTACTTCTATGAGAGTAAAATAGAATGAACAATGTTAAGTACTCCCTTCATGTAAACAAAATATGAAGACTGAGAGAGGGAATATGTGCCAACCCAGTGGGTTCCTTGGCTGCCATCAAGCTAGAGCATGGTGAAGACCAACTAGAGGGCTGCTGGCAATCAAGGCCAATACACCTTCATTCAGAAAATATAATCTCAGGGCTGGGGATGTGGCTTAGTGGTATAGTGCTTGCCTAGCATGCATGAAGCCCTGAGCTTGATTCCTCAGTGCCACATACACAGAAAAAGCCCAAAGTAGTACCGTGACTCAAGTGGTAGAGTGTGAGCCTTGAGCAAAAAGAAGCACAGAGACAGTGCTCAGGCCCTGAGTTCAAGCCCCAGGACTAGCAAAAAAAAAAAAAAAAAGGAAGGAAGGAAGGAACGAAGGAAGGAGAGAGAGAGGGAGGGAGGGAGGAAGGAGGAAGGGAGGAGGGAGGGAGGGAGCAAGTCAAAGGCCCAAAGCAACATGGATGGATTTATCTTGTAATTTGACACTGTGGTCTGCTTTTTCATATTACATATGTGATTTTAGTGTCACCTCAGGAGCCAAATTTAAAACCAAACGTACACATTTTCTTAATTACTGCATTTTCTTCCCTTTTCTTTTTGTTTTTGGCAGTACTGGAGTTTGAACTCAGGGCTTTGCACTTGTTGGATAGGTGCTGTACAGTTTGAACCACACCTCTAGTCCAAGGACTTCACTTTCTCAAAAGCCCTTTCTTCCAGTGGTAAATATTGGCCAAAATAAGGTTCTTTCAAATGTAGGAACACTTAAAGAAAAAAAAATCCTCAGCCTATGTCCCACATCTGGGATACAGAAAGCATAAAATCCCCCAGAGGAAAGTCAGGGAATTCTTAAAATTCTTAAGAGGGGAAAGGTTATAGAAAGCAGACTAGAAAAAAGACAGTTTTATGTAAATAATGAACAGTGGTTTTCAATTATTAAAGGGAAAAGCCGATGGTGAAAAATCAGCCTCCCAAGCTGAACACAAACTATTTTTCCAAGGAAAAACTGCCTCATCACATTCAGAAGAGAGAAGGAAAAACAAAAAAGCTTTCATGCACAGGGAAGGTCAGCTCAGAATCACAATGTGCTCTGTCTCCAAAAGAAAGGAACACGGTATCATCCATGTGGATACCACCTTGTCCTTAGACCATAAATGCTTAGACCAGACTAGACACACACTATGTGAAAATAAAATGGCAAAGGTTTTATGAAGCATTTCAGAATCAAGAGCAGAACTTGACGAACAACAACAAACACCTACAAAACAGCCATGCTGAATAAAACATATCAAATAGAAATAAATCTTGGACTCTGCCAGTATTATGTCTAGCACCCCAAGTTTCAAGGCGGCTGGCTGGATCCTTCAAGGTCAGAGACCCAGCCAAAAGAAATAGTCTTCTGAGGTTAGGCCTGGGGAGGGGCATGGTCTTGAGCAATAGGCTGAGACTAAAGTAGCCTGAAGGGATTATTTCTTGCTCTTCTCATCAAACAGTACAACTAACAAGTTTTTAATGCCTGTATGCATATATTGAATGCCCACAAGTCTTTGATTGGATGCTGTTATCAATGAAATGAGGGATTTAGGCACCCAGATGAGGGCAGACTGAAGGGGTCTTTTATAGGTCCTGCAGCCATACCATTAAAGTTCTAGAAGCTACTGGCCTTCAAGCTGTGTGTGTTGGGGGAGAGGAAAAACATGTGAAGGTATTTTCAGCTTTGGGGGAATAGGTTAATGAAAAAAAAAAGTGAAGACCAGAAATTTTCCATCTCAGATTCTGTACAAGCATTCTCCAAAAGCTGCAAAGAGTGACTGGTTTTATTCTCTCCTCGCCCTTCCCCCCGCCCCCCCGGCTGCCCGCCCCATGCAGACCACCTGCCTATCCAGGCTCAGGGACCTCCACACTGTGGGGTCTTCACGTTCAATAGGATAAAACTCTCTTTATAACTGCAGTCACTTCTGCCCCCTTGCTTCCCATTATATGGGGGCAGGCCCAAGTCCAGCCAAGCAAGAAGAAAGGACCCTGAAGCCCAGAATGCTATTTCCAGGCTGTCATTTCAACATGGCAAACTGTTTTCAAAGGTTCCTTCGTTGCTGCTTCAAACGATGTGCAGTCACAGCAGAAAGGGGATGAGTACTCTGGAAAAGCCACACAGGCCAGTGCAAAAACTCACAGAAACAGGACTGCTAAAGAGACCTCAGGAATTGTGGTGCCGACAACTGTACGTTGGTTTCTTTGTCTCTGATTGTACCCAGCCCTCTACCTCTTCTCTCTCAGCTAGTAAGGCCTTGTGGATCCACCCAGGACTTTCACTGTATCGGGTATATAGCACATTGCTCAGGCATCACACTACACATCATGCTTTGTAGCCTACAGGAACCATAGCTTTCTGTGTGCATTGCATTCTAGTATATGAACTGACAGAGCCACAGCTTTCTCTGTGCATTGCATTCTAGTATATGAAATGATCTCAGACCTAAACTCAGGCTTAGGATTGAGTAGAGAAGATCTCATTACTGACATGAGCAAGGAAAAAGAAAAATCCTGCTTCTTCTTATTTGAAGCCAAAGAAAGTTTAAAATTTTCCAGAAGAAAATGTCTGCCAGGAAATTTAAGGGAGAACACGTTACTCATGAAACCTAGACACTTAAATAACCTAATGTTATTCATTGGGGTTTTTATTTGTTTTTTAAAGATGTAAGGGGCCAGGCAGAGTGGCATATGTCTGTAATCCCAGTTACTTGGGATGATGCAAATAGGAGAATCAACGTTTGAGACACTGGCCAAAAAAAAATAATAGTAAGACCCTAACTTTCTTCTGCATTAGGAAAAACTAATTACCAAGTCAAGCCTCAGATGATCAAGTTTCTACCTAAAATATACTCAAGTTTAAAAGTTCCAAAAGAAAAGAAATGAACATGGCAAAAATGGTCAAATGTGGTACCTAAATGGACTACTTGGTCCATTACAATGGTCAATGAAACAATGCCCATCAAAGGCTAAGAGGTTGATCAGAAAGACCCCAAAACTTACCTATCCCTTCTCTCCTCTCGCAGTCTTTTTCTCCTCCTGAAAACCCCCTTCAACACATGGTGTCTTTGAGGAATTGAGTGTGAACACTGGGAAGTCCCTGGATGACCTATCAAGAAATTCACACCTAGTTCACTGTGCTTCAGAATTAGCAGAACTCAGCTCCCTTAAATCTCTGGCTCAGTTTAGGAGTTCAGCATTTCAATATGGCAAAAAATCACCAACTATTCACATCAGCTGATTCTATGAATACATAGTTTACCCAGAAGGCAAGTCTCAGGAGGTTTCTAAAGGACGTAGCAGCCTCATCTCCCCTGAAATCTTCTTTTTCTTTTCTAGTATACCAATTTTTTGGGGGGGACTTGAACTCTGGGCCTGGGCACTGTCCCTCAGCTCTTCAGTTCAAGGCTCACGCTCTACCACTTGAGCCACAGCACCACTTCTGGTTTTCTGAGTGATTAATTGGAGATAAGAGTCTCATGGACTTTCTTGCCTGGGTTGGCTTTGAACCGCTATGCTCAGCTTCCTGAGTAGCTAGGATTACAGGCATGCACCACCATACCCAGCTAGTATACCAATTTTTATTACCCAGCTTTCCTTCCCATTCTTTCTTCTTTTTTGGGGAGGGGGTCATGAGGCTTGAACTCAGGGCCTAGGCACTGTCTCTGAGCTTTTCTGCTCAAGGCTAGCATTCTACCACTTTGAGGCACAGCACTGCTTTCTTGCCCATTCTTTTGTGTATACACTATAGTAATTTAAGGATCACTGTTACTACAAGGCAATTCAGTCAAGTATCTCTCTATATATGCCATATATATGTGTATGTATAATTCTGTTGTTGAGGTATCTGTCTGTCCTGTCTGTCTGTCTGTCTCTCTCTCTGCATACTTAGTCCAAAAGAAATGAATTATAATTATCTTAAGTAGCTTTTCAAAAGAACTCAAAATTATTCTGCTTTAGTTCCGCTTCTGCTGCAGCTATTCCAATTGCTGATGCACAGAGAAACTTTGTTTCTATAATCTTAGTTGCTTTTCACAAATTCAGTCCTTTCCGATAAGAACATGGTAAAACAGTATTGTTCCTTCCCAAATAGACTCAATTCCAGAGACAGAACCTGAGTCCAAAACTAATGAAACCATTTTTTAAAAGAATGTTAAACACTAAAATTCCATTTTTGCCTTCTTCACACCAAG